GTTTTACAAGTGGAACCAGTTCACGAGTCCCATCCTTACCAAAGAAGACTGATTACTTTAAAAAAGAATTAGTCCTTTCTCTAAAAATTGAACTGTGTGTGTGTGTGTGTGTGTGTGTGTATTAATTAAACACGGTTTTAAGTCGTAGGTCAACTGTTTCTTAACACTCTTGGAGCAGATTACAGCTTGAACTACAGGAAGTGGCACCAAATACGGCACGGTTTTTGTAACAAGTTCACAAACTTTGTTTATTGCACCGGAGCAGTTAGACTGAGAAGCTGTGTGTTCCCTCAAGTTTCTGGGAACTTAGACACTGTGAAAATCTGCTGCACACTTTCCTTCTGCGATAGACACAGCAAGCTAAGGTGGAGAAGTTCAACCATCATGAACTCTGAGCTCTGATTCTCCACCTCAACTCTAAGTTAAGGTAACTTATCTGTTGCTGCATAAAGATAAAGGAGTGGCTTTTACTTTGTTTGTTAGTGCAGGAATGTTAAACGATTCTTTTAGATAAAGAGGTAATAAATTCATATCATGTAGAGATTAAGTTTTTTAATGCTATGAGGTATAAATCTTCCTCGGTGATAAACCCCACCCCCCAAAACTCTCCAACATAATATCTTCTGTGGAGACAAAAACAAGTTAATATTGAAACCGTTTTAGCTTATGTCTGTTAGATTTATTTTTTTCTGTCCTGATTGCAAAAACTCAGGAGAACAAATTTCCAAAAGCAGAAAAAAATCACACATTATAGTAGCACAGTGTTGGAGGGTCTTAATTAAACATCCATCCATCTTCTTCCAGTTATCCAGTCACGGTAGCAGCAGGCTAAGCAGAGAAGCCCAGACCTCCGTCATCCCAGCCACTTCTCAAAGGTTATCTGGGGAAATAACGAGGTGTCCCCAGGCCAGCCGAGAGACATAATCTCTCCAGCGTGTTGTGGGTCTACCTCGGGCCGTCCTCCCTGTAGGACATGCCTGAAGCACCTCACCCAGGAGGCGCTCAGGAGCCTCAAATCACCTCAACTGGCTCCTTTCGATGTGGAGTAGCAGCTCTACTCTCAAGCTCCTCTGGAACAACTGGTCTTCTTTAAGGGAGAGGCTATAGCCACCCTTCAGAGAAGGATCATTTCCACCACTGGTATCCATAATTTAATTTTTTCAGTCACTACCCAAAGCCTGTTATCATAGGTGAGGGCATCATAGGAGGCTTTTCCATGGCTCTCTTTTCACCACAATGGACTGGTGCAGCATCTGCATCACAGCAAACGCAGCCCCAATACATCTGTCAGTCTGCCAGTCCTCTGTCCCCTCACTCGTCTGTGAGGTTAGAAAACCAAATGCCTGCAACTCTTCCCATTTGGTTTTATAACTGAACAAGGCTCTTGTATGCGAGTTTACAAGAAACTTAAACAAGTCCAGTCGCATTTTTCCACTCTGCATTTTTCCAGGTCAGAACTAAATGTCTCTCTACTCATGCTACTGTGTCACTTTCTTCCTGCCAGCTTGCTGGTATCACAGATTTTATCATGTTACACACCATATGCAAAAGATGGAAATAGCCACAGCTGTGTTTGTCCGGTTTTGAAGTTTGAGTGAGTAACTGAGAAACGGAGGACGCTGCACACTCATGGTTGTTACTTGTTAATCAAAAAGTAGCCACACTGTACAACACAGCCTGCTTTACACTGTATTTTATGATTAATGAGACGTCGTTTGCAGAATTAACATTATGGCGTATTTAAAAACACTTCAACTTGGCAACTGAGATCATAAACTCATTGTTTACTGAGATCACAGGTAAAGTGAGCAGATGGATCTTTTCGCCATAGACCTGTATACAGTCCGATGTTTTTTAAACCAAAGGAGTCTTCCCTAAGAAGTTAGTAGAAAGAATGAAGGTTTACTACATTTTTCAAAAGATACATCACTTTTTTTTTCTCTGTAACTCTGGCAACAATATAAAATAAAGGCAGAAAGTAGAAAAATGTATTTAAAAACTAACCTTTCTAATTTATGATCTGTTTACTATGGAAGAGGATTAGGGCCACTTCTGTAGTAAACTGAGACTGACTGACTGAGTCAGAATTTAGACTTCTCGCTTTTACTTCACAATTCTGAATTCCATCTTAAAATTCTTAGGTTCCTAGAAGTTTGGACTTTATCTCAAAATTTTCACTTTCTTGTCGGAATTTTGCCTCTTAGAATTCTTACTGTCTCATCAGAATGTTTGAGGGAAAGTCCATAATTCTAAGAAGTGGGAAAGAATTCTAAGATGGAATTCAGAATTCGGGGGTAAAAGTGAGAATTCTATGTGTTAACACTCCAAGAACAGTGTGATAATTCCAAGAACAAAGATAGGATTCTGAAAAATCGGTCATTCTTACTGCCTTATCAGAATACTGAGTTTCATTTCGGAATTTTACCTTTGTTCTCAGGCGTCTTGCATTGTTCTTGGAATTTTGACACATAGAATTCTCACTTTTACCCCAAAATTCCAAACTCCATCTTAGAATTCTTTCCCGGTTTTCAGAATCATGGACTTCACCTCAGAAATTTCACTTTCTTGTCAGAATTTTACCTCTTAGAATTCTTACTGTCTCATCAGAATGCTTAGTTTTATTTTGAAATTCTATCTCGTTTCCGACAAGAAGTAAAATTTTTGACGTAAACTTTTTTTTTCTTCCCAGATACTTTCGTAAAATTATTTCATGGCCTTAAAAATCCATTTATCTTTGCCTTTTCATTATTTGCTACAGAGCAAACACAACTGAAGTCAGCGTGTTTAAATGCTCTGCAGCAGATAAAAGACAGTAGAAGTAAAAGGCATCTTGTACATCCTCCTCTGTAAGTTCTCTCGTTTAAATTCTTCCTATCTACTTCTTTTTGCAGGAAGTCGCTGCCAACTGTAAGCCAGCAAAATTAATTAATAATTCGGGCAACGTCTGCAGCAGCAGCAGGAGATTCTTATTGTTTGCCCTTGCATGCACAGAGTTACTATCTTAACTTGGCATGGCAGCTGACACTTTGCCAGAGTGGATGTGCTGAGAGGTGTATTAGAAGTGATAATGAAGAACACACTTCCACTTGAGAATGAAGCAATTAAAGAGGGGTGTAAACAGCAGAGGGAGGAATGAGTGTGACTTCATTCCTGAGGGAATCCTCCAATATCTCTCACACCTGAGAGGTCTGCAGAGAGCGCCGGCTCTGATGAGGATTCCCGATGACAGTTAGCGACAGGAGGATGTAACACGGTCTCGCAGTGAAGCGGGAGGACAGCGAGGAGACTGAGATGCACTGAACAACATTTAACACGTGCTCCACCTGCGTGCTCCGGCATCACTGTTAGCAGTCATGTGCCCTTGCAGAAGCCTGTAGATTCAGACAGAAGACACTGTTTGGCTGCACACTCAGGCCAAGTTGTGCTCCATTTAACAATAACAAAAAAAAAATACTGCATGGGTAAAACTAGTAAAAGGTCCCTTTAAAAGTTTTATCTTTATGAGCAAGTCTCTCAAACGAGACATTGGCTCTCAGTGGAACTACCTGCATAAATAAAGGTTAAAATAAGTTTAAGCACAAGTTGTAGTTCTTATTAATTCCTTTTAATCCCAGAGACGGGCTGCTAGGACATAAAGGTCTATGGAGCTAAAATAATTATTTACACCTGCTGAAAAAAACAAAACAAACAAACAACAAAAAGCAAACAAACAGGGAAGCTGATTTTCCCATTAAAAACTATCAATCTGCTTATACACAGTGGTTGATCAGGCATTTACTCAATAATGATTGTTTCCAAATGATAACTGGATGTGTGAAGTGTAGTTTAACACAACAGAAAAATCGCAAAAAAAGAAAAAAAAATATCTAAAAATGGAACTCTATTGTTGTAGAAGTCTGTTGTTTAAATCACTTCTATCAATATTGTAACAAGAAAATGTTTGCCTCATGAAATTTACATTTGTGGGCTACAGCTTCATAGGAGCCCAGCGATTCTGGACCTGAAGTCCAGTTCTTGAGGAGACTTTCAGCATTTACAGGTTCTTTGCACGGTTCCAGGTTGGTCGGACAGAAACAGTATAAAGACAAAGACAAGGTACTCAAAGAAACTGAACTCTATGAATTCTGCAGCTGTAAAGATGGCCTGGGTCAAGTTGAATTCCTTGCAGTACCTCTCAAAATAAAGGTACATAAGCACAGATTGCGGTCTGGTTTATTAAAGGGTTAAAATAAGAGTGATCTCAGTCTGTTTGGTTTGAGTTTTGCTGGGATTTTTGCTGCATCTCCCCTCATATGATGTCCCATTTTTCTTCTGAGTAAAGTAAATATGAAAAAAGACAGAATGTGCATTTGAATATTTAAAAAATTTCTGCTTATTAATTTAGGTTGTTGCTTTGAATATATTCTTACGTTCAAAAATATTTCTCTTTGTTTCAGTAAACTGATTTTTTCACCACTGTTTTAAAATTTCAAAGATAACCATACTGTGAATATTTTCTTTATCATAACAATGACATCTGAGGTGATTACATATCTGAATGTCATGTAATACTATCCATCAGCAATCACCATCAACATAAATGAAACTGATTAGTGAGACAAATAATTCTCCAATACGTGTTTATTGCGGTTTAGGATTGAATCATTAGGAGAGACTGGCGTCCCTGAGTAATTATGGGTGGCACGGTGCATCTCCGGGATCCGTTGAACCAGGTAAAAAATCCATTAAGGGTGCTAGACACGATTCCTAAAACCCAAACCTAAAACAAAGCCGTTTATATTTACGGTAAGAACTATTATAGAGTCCCATATGGGATTTGGAGAGAGCTCATTAATGCAGAAAAACAAAGGTTATTTAAATTATTTTAATAAAGAATCTTCTAAGGATATTAGCGATAATAGTAAATATTAAACAGAGTTTAAGATTGCGTTATTTATTTATTTATTTTAACTCAGGCAGACGTTGGCCACGTTGGAAGGGTCCATTAGTGATGACGTCTGTGTGACTCGGAAGATGTTGTAGCTAAAACTTCAGAAATATTACCCGTTGTGTTTGTTTGTGTTTAAAGTTAATATTAACACGTGTTTACAAATGCGTAGTACATATTATAAGCCCCAGAATGGCACAAACTGCAAATATGCCAAATTAAAAGGTGAGTTTTTTTGTTAATATATCTTTTCCCCTTTTTTTAAAGCTCATTGTTGTTAGCTTAGCCCTTTAAGAGCCAAGCTATAATTAGCCACTAGTTACCAGGCCGCTTTGAAAATGTCGCTATTTTAACGTCGTCTTGGTTAACTACGGCATACTTTACATCAAAAGCATAATTTTACCTTTGCTTTTGTTCAGGTGGTTTTTCAGGTACAATCGGCTCGTAAAGAATGTATCAAGGAAGTACGCTGTGTTTAAAAAAATCTAATTTTGTATTTGCTGATACCGTGCTCGCCACAGACTTCTACAGTGTTACATTAGCTGTAAAATTAACGCTACAACACAGTTTATTGGCAGAATTTGACTGTAAATGGAGTCTTGTATAAATATACAAACTTTATTGATAATTTGCAACATGGTCGCGAGCTTGGATCTAAGCTTGGACCGTGATTTGTATAAATGTTTGTTAGCACTTAAGCACCTAAAATCGCCACATTAGTGAACGGAGTTTGGTAGAACGTAACGGATAATCTGGAAAGTTAGCTTCGGTAACATGAGATTACATGAAAGACAAGCCGGTGGGTGCAAGTAATGATAGCTTTCTGATAATAGCTCCACACAGATGTAGGAGAATCAGCTTTCACTTGATGTTTTGCTGTATTCTTTACTCGTTCAGCTCCACAGACCACTTTGATTTCTTCTCCACTCGAATTACAAACTCAGATGCTCGGACAACAAAACAAATATCGCTTAATGCTATATTTTATTAAAAGAGTTCTGCCTCTATTGAATCTGATCTTGATCTGACTTGCTGGTTTCAGGTTCGGGTCAGATTAAACTAGACCCTGCTGGCTCAGACATGCCTCAGAAACCACAGAAGAGCTCTCAGACTGCACACTACATCGAGCTGGGAAGTTATCAGTACTGGCCTGTACTGGTGCCCAGAGGTATCAGGCTGTACACATACGAGCAGATCCCCCCGTTTCTGAGGGAGAACCCCTACATCACAGATGGATACAGGGCATACTTGCCCTCCAGGCTGTGCATCAAAAGGTGAGAAGCACCTTTTAACCTGAAATCAGAATTTTCATCTTCAACACCACAACACAACACAGTCACTCCACTAAAGTCAAGCAGTGCCTACTTTTTGAACACCTCAGAAAATTACTTATGCACTAGGAATCACAGTTAGAAGAAGAGCCAAGTAAAAGAGGAGACTTAACCTATCCCACATGTTGATATGAGCCTTGAAAGTGTTCCACAATTCAGCTTTTGAAGCTTTCTTCAGTAAAAGCAGGTTAAACATGCAGACTGCCAGTGTTTTTCTCTTTTTTATGTCAGCTGTTGAAACTATGATTCATTCCATTATATTAATATTTAAAGCCGACTATAAGGAAGATAAAAAGATTCTGAACAGGTTTTGAAGATTCTGGTTGCAGTTTTTAAGCAAGCTTAAATGTTTTTGGTTGTTTTACAGCTGGAAATTTCCTGTAGTTGTCTACTGCACTTATGAAGTTATGATGCGCACATTGAAAACCACTCCCCTATTTATTTTGAGGGGCTTTAATTAAGAACATATTAACATTGTGATGGCAACATTTTTGCAAAAAGGAATCTAAAGTGCTTGAGATATTGTAGAAATAAAATCACTTTTTTCCCAAGTTGGTTCACCCAAAAACATTTTAGCTTAGAAAACTTCCATCTTTCCTCCATGATAGTATACACCAGTATGTTGTGTCATTTCTGAATGTCACGTCATGTGGTAAATACACATCCCTGTGGATTTACTACATGTTTATCAATACTTTATGGGTTTTTATGAAGGCACAGATAAAATTAATGATAGTAAAGATGAACTCACGGGATAAACAAATGACAGACAGCTGGAGGAAATTAATCAGAGCGTATTAATAACACTGAGCAGTGGTGATGGTACTCACAGTGATCCAAAATCACAGTGAATTATTACATAAATCCTGATTTGGTTTTGCCTTCTTTGTGGTGACTTTTTTCCTCACGTTACAGGTTTGATTGTTGTGGAGCTGCTGTATGATGATGTCGTTGTGTCTTGGTGTAACGTGCTGTAATGGTACTCTGTGATTCCCACGCCTCGCTGCAGAGGCTGATTGATTTTGCTTCCTGACATTTGTTGTGGGGTCGATGCCAATAAAGATTTTAAGGGAGTTGGGCAACTCGTGTCGCTCTCTAGTTCTAGTTTCAGTGGTTAATGGAAACGGCGAATCCAGACTGTTTATTGATTGGGAGGTAATAGATGCTTGTCAGACATTTATGTTGGGGTGTGTAATTGTTCAGAGTTATGGTTCATACCTCTGGTTTTCTTTAGAGGGAACTGACTGTGTGACTATTTTAAAGCTTGTAAATGACCTTTGCAGCCTCTTCATCCTGTCCAATGAGACGGTGAACATCTGGAGCCATCTCCTGGGCTTCCTCCTCTTCTTCTGTGTTGGGGTGTACAACATGGCCTCGGTGCTGCCGGCTGTTGGCGCCTCCAGGGAGGATTATGTCATCTACTCCATTGGACTCTTCTGCTTTCAGGTACAGTGCTGCTATTGTCTTCTGCTTAGACATCATCTCACATTGCTTTTATATAGAATAAACCACCAGAGATATTTCAGTTCTCCTGAGCTGTGGTTAGATTGAAGTTGGCAATTACACTGCTCATGCACTGTTAATAAATCTCAGTATATTTGAGTATTGAAGAAGGCAAATATAGGCCTGTCTAGATTTGGCCTTTCTAGGTGTTAATGAACCTGTTGGATCACTTTGTACACTCATCATCACCTATAAATGTAGCCCTTAAAATATCCAGACATGCCTGTACAAGTGGGTGAGCCCAGAGTTGAGATTCAGAAAATAAAGAGCAGGGTTAGTGCAGTTACTGACGGGCGGGATAGCGATTGTAGTTTGACACAATGTGAACTTTTTACCTTTTCAATGTGGTTACATGTCATAACACCAAGTATTATGTTCAACATCATAATCACTAGTGTGATTAAAACACCACGTTTATTGCTTACTCTCAAACCTGGTGTGGAAAAGTTGTTTTATTTCTTTTAAACAGTTAGATTTCAGATTCAAGTATTAATTTATTTTATATAATAAATATGTCTGGGGCTTGACATTATTGGTATTCATTAATTATAATACCAAAACTTATTTAACTGTCTTGTTTTGACCTCAGTGTCCCGCTTTCTGTTAGAATCTCGTGTTCTGCTTTTTCTTCTTGGTCTGTGGACGTAAACGTGTTTTATAAATAAAGTTATTTTCATTATTAAATGCCTGACTGTGTGTTTTGCCGTCCTCAGCTGTGTATGCTGTGCTCGGTGGGTTACCACCTGTTCTGCTGCCATCGCTCAGAGAAGACCAGCCGCCGCTGGATGGCGCTGGATTACGCTGGCGTTTCCATCGGCATCCTGGGCTGCTATGTCCCCGGAGTCTTCTACACCTTCTACTGTAATAACGTAAGCTCACCTGCAGCCTTTCATATAAACTGCTCTCTCTTAGACGGCGTTTAAAAGTGACGTTTTCACTGCGTCGAGTGTTGTCGAGAAGCCTTGTTGCTATGTTTTGTACCAACTGCAGACTCCAAACTATAGACAGGTTCAGTATTTGGAAGTATTTGTAATCTGCACATAACAAGACTGTACTAGCCTTTTGACATACTGGTTGAAGTTTCCGT